AGTACAAGGAAATACTTTAGATTACCACACAATGGCTTCTTCATCCATTTCCCTTGAAGAACATACTACAAGGTGCATAATGCATTTTTGAAGGCCTCTCCACCATAACAGCAGACATTCATCATTCCCAAACATTAACTCCTCTACCAGTTGTTTCGGCAATGTTTCCAGCTGAAGGAATAGAAAGCTGATCTGCCTGGTTAATTTTCAGTGGTAGAACAGCAGTGCCGTTCCCTCCTTATCCCCACATACAGGTATTTGGTTGATCTTTGATGCCAGCAGCATCTATCCTCTCATTTTAGGGCAGCACTACAATACCAGGAGAGGCTGCCACCCAACCAGCAACGGAGGATGCATTGACAAGATGGCACTAAGCAAACAACTGCACTGCAACAACTACTGCAGTAATACGCCCAAAGTTTACATGCAGAGGCACATAAATTCAGGGGGTTTTGCTTGCAAATGCTTCATGGGTACCAGGGTGCTGCTGTACTGTTTGCTCGAGATGCACTGTGACTCATCAGTCTATTTATTGAGAACCAACATTAGAAAGATATGGTAAAACCACAAGCTAATAATATCTACTCGTTGTGGTAGAGAAGCATCTCTTTAAGAAGGCTGGAAAACATGGCCATTCAAACAATCCTGATGTAGCTGATATAGAACTGCTCTGTATGAATACATAAATGACAGCAATAATTTGAATATCTGTAACTTTAATCAATACACCCAATTCTCTGTCCTCCATAGATCTTAGGAATACAGAATTAAAACCTGGAGCATAGGTACCAGCTTAATGTAAAAACAGACTTAGAAAGACAACTAGTAACATTGGTAACATGCTTAACTGCTTACCGAGTGTCACGTGTGGAAAGGATTAACTATTCCTTCATCGTACTCACACAAAAGGCAACACACTTTAGGATATTGGTCTTTTTCTCTTGCCTGAAAAGGACATAGTCTTTAAGGAACCAACAGGAATCACTTATGAATGAAGCTTCTTATTTGTACGGTTCACCAGCTGGCAACGTTTGGTCTTTCCTCTATAGCCAGCATGCAAAAACCCACAGATCTGGGGCGTGAGAATACCTGCCATATCCTGCCCCGCATCTCCCAAATGCAAGAAATAGTAAAACACGGAGAATCAGACCCTTCTGAGATGGGAACGAATTGTAAGTTTACACTACAACGCATGTCTGTCTTTACTATAAATGCAATAAAAGCAAACACATATAGTAAGGAATCTCTCCACGTAGAGGAAATGGGATCTGCAACTTGGCTCTCAGAAAAATCAACCCTAAAAACAAACCCAACAGAATCATCTTAAAAGTTAAGATTGTTGGAGTTTGAATCCCACGTCCCAGCAGGCCTAAAAATGTAGGTCTGCTTTGGGACAGATACAGTACAATCTACCCCATGGCAACAAAAACTAACAGCAGCTTTAATAAGGAAGATACAAGCGGAATGCCTGTGTAACTAATATCCATTTAAAAAGTTGACACGCTGAAACCCCTCACAAAGAACACAATGCTTTATGGATACTT